GTAATGAAAAAATTCGTAAATACCAATGATTGCAGAAAAGAGGCCATAGCGAAAATGACGAACAGCGAAAATGACGAAATTTGGCAGACGGGTCGGGATGGGAGGTCGTGTTACGTATATGTACGTATATCGACATTTGTAAGCCAGACAATAAAAAAAAAAAAAAAAAAAAAGAAAGACAGATAAGAGCGTTATAATAATGATTATAGAAATGGCTTTTGTAAATAGCATTAAAAAAAAAAAATATATAAAAATGAGAAATCGCTAAAATGATTTTTATCGACGCTTAAAACAGCGAGCGGTTGTAGGCGGGCGTAAGTAAAAAAACACTTAGTTGCTTATTATGTGTTAGGCAAATTAATCGTGAGCAGACTGTTAGTTGAAAACACGTCCCGACTTTCACACAATGCGTAAAAAGATCGCAAATTAAAAAAAAATGCTAAAAAAAATCAAAGGCGCTTTGAATTCCAACATGAATATTTACTTGTATTTTTATCTATTATGGACAGGATGCGGGGAAGACAAGAAAATATTTGAGTTATGTAAGGAACGACATTATTTAAAGACTACAATAGGCAATAAATAAACAATGAACACAAACAATCCGCATATGATACTACCAAACATGCCCGACGTCGAATGGGCTCAGTTTTTATCCGACACGCTATCTCAGATTTGTGCATCAGCAATATTGTTGCCTTCAAATAGTTACCGCCACTAATTTTCGATACCTACGGTTTAAGATTAATTTTTATAAATGAAGGAGGTTCCTTGAAGCTTTTATTTTAGCTTTAATTCCAGTAAGCAAAATACTCGGGTCTATTTCAGACAGAAACTGTTTGGACTCGATTTTTTTCTGTTTTTTTTTCTCGGAGAATGTAAATCATTAAAAAAAAAAAAAAAAAAAAAAAAAAAAAAGTAAAAAAAGAAAAAAAAAGAATAAAGCTTTTTTGGATTAAAATTTAATTTCTCGAGATCTCATGAAATTACGTGTTTGGGAGTGGCATACACACACATATATATATATATATATATATATATATATATATATATAGTGTAACCCGGATATAAGAGAGATTTTCTCTGGTCCCAAAGTGTTCCCATACTTACCCAAACTAATAGACCAAACCCGGATATAAGACTTCTTCTCGGTCCCGACAACACTCTTATATCCGGGTTACACACACACACACATATATATATATATATATATATATATATATATATATATATATATATATATATATATATATATATACATGAATTATTCACACAAAAACTAAAAAAGTCGCACTTGGATCAGTTATTTAAATTACGATAAACGTGCAATCATTTTACAAATACATGAATTATTCACACAAAAACTAATGCAAAGGTTAATGATTTAAATGGCGAGACATCCATCATCGCAAACTTTTGGATAATAAGTGCGACATTACTGTAATTATTGAACAATATAGTTCATGCCACTTTGACAGAAAAATTTACCAGTAAAAAAATTGTTCATCACCATATTTTATATGAACGCACAACCTTTAAAAATTTAAAATCAAACTCAGCGTTGCTTTTGCGCGTTCAAAAACAATAACTCATTTTCAATAGCATTTTCGGATACAACAATACATATATTTTCGTTGTCCTCTTATTACTAAGAGAAAAAACAAGAACAACATCTATTCTATACCTGAAGATGTCTGTAGGAACAGACGAAAGCTTGTAGTAAAATAAGAACTAATACGGCAGAAATTTATAGAAACAAGGATCATTTCATTCATAACGGATACGGAGGTTTTTGTATATTATTTGAATTGTTTGTGATGATGGATGTCTCGCCATTTTAATCATTAACCTTTGCATTAGTTTTTGTGTGAATAATTCATGTATTTGTAAACTGATTGCACGTTTATCGTAATTTAAATATATTATATATATATATATATATATATATATATATATATATATATATATCAAAAACTTTCCATGACAATCCGTTTAGGTGAAACCTAGGTAGGTTTGTCTGGCTCACTAGGTGTATATATATATATATATATATACACGCACATCAAAATATTACATCCACCGCTAACGCAAAAAAGAAATAAATAAACCAAAATTTCGAACGTGCTAAAAAGGATTAAAAAAAAAAAAAAAAAAAAAAATAAGTTATAAAATATTTTTAAAAAATACTTTAGTCTTCATTTTAATAATAATAAAAATTTAGACGAAAAAAACTTTGTTTTTATTAAGTTTGAGACATTTTTTCATCGTGATATATGCGGTTTTTTCAACGAAAAAAGGAGATAGCATTAAGGCAATCCGACAGCATTAAACAATGTTCTAGTTGTTTATTAAACAATAAACACTGTACAGTTTAATTTTCAAAACTTGTAAAAATAGGCACGCAACAACCAATTTTTAGTCCTTTCTTCCAAATACACAGGCCCAAAATTTGGCCATATAATGTATGCTTTAACCAACACTTCAAATCCCAAGGTCAGGTGCCTCTTCGACAATTCAGCAGTCTATTTGGGGGCCTTAAAAATCAAGCTGGGATTCTATGACGACAGACGCATAAGGTTGGCTGGAAGAGACGACAGTCGATGAGTAGTAATTATAAAAAACAATATATGTATGCTGGTCCGAATAGTAAAGAATATAGGAATCTATAAATACATAATGAAGACAAATTACATGCATATGATAACTGGCAAACATACCCGAAGATTTCATTAATCAACTACATTATAAAGTCGTTTCCCAGAGATATTTGTTTATGGCAGTCACAATATTATCGCTATTAAGGCAACTCGGTAGCGTTAAACACTTTTCTAGTCGTTTACTTCTTTCACGACACCTTTTGTAATGTACAATAATTTTCACAACTCACTATTAAAAATACCAACATGGCTTACTTCCGGTTACTCATAAACTGGGATTAACTAAGGTCCTTACCACTTTCAAAGAAGGTTCTCAACGATTTTTTTTACCTATGGGCCACTTTTACTCTTAATTCTTTTTGGTAGACCCCCATAATTATTTGATGAAAAACTTATACTATATATACTACTGCGCGCTCCAAAAACAATAACTCATTTCCAATAGCATTTTCGGATACAACAATACATATATTTTCGTTGCCCTCTTATTACTAAGAGAAAAAACAAGAACAACATCTATTCTATACCTGAAGATGTCTGTAGGAACAGACGAAAGCTTGTAGTAAAATAAGAACTAATACGGCAGAAATTTATAGAAACAAGGATCATTTCATTCATAACGGATTCGGAGGTTTTTGTATATTATTTGAATTGTTTGCGATGATGGATTTCTCGCCAATTAAATCATTAACCTTTGCATTAGTTTTTGTGTGAATAATTCATGAATATTATATATATATATATTAAATTCATTTTATTATTAATATTTTATATTGATTTATTTATATCAATATATTAATATTGTATTGTATTAATATTTAAAATTATATTATTTATTATTAATATATTAAATTCATTTATGTAATAAATTATAACATTTATATAATTCTCTTTTTATATATCCTTCTCTGTTTTTATTCAACTTTTACAATCAAAACATCTGGTAGAGTTAAAGGGACGCTAAATTACATTGCTTGATCACTTTTTGTTAGTTTTAGAGTTTTTTTTTTTTTTGGGGTTTCGAATTTTAGTATTTTAATATAGAGTAGATTACTGTAAAAATTCTAAATCGCATTTGTGACAACCGTTCCAAAGTGAAATTGCTCTATGGATCCTTAAATGTTAATGTGAACCCCCAACCCCAATCTTCTATGTTTTTTGTGTGGACCCCCAGTAATGTTACATTGACCCCTTGGGCCCATATAGATACCGATTGATAACCACTGGTATATAATGTAATCGATCCTGAACCTGGCATCTCTACTTCAGTCACTTTCTCACCGACGTAACGTAGCTTCCCTATGTCTTTTCTACAAATATTTTCATGGCAACTGCTCTGACGGGCTTTTTCCCCCCACTTAGTGCCTCGTCTGCATAAACTTAAACGTGCTACTAGATTAGTAAATAGGTTTAACCGTTTTACTTTTGAACTAGCGAGATGCAACCGTCTCTTGTGTTCTAAGAGTTTAATTTCTCACACTTCTCGCCCGTGGAACTCCCCCCCCATTTCTTCCTTGCCACCCAGAAACTTAAAACTTAAATGTAATGTCAATCGCCATCTTCTGTCTCCGGTTTCCTAATTGCACTTTCCTCACTTCTCACTAAAGTTTTCTCATTCTCTTTCACTTCTTGTACTCCCTGCGTCTTAGTGGCGTTATCGCCTTGCTTGAGATGAAATGATTAAGAAAGAATTGTATCCGAGCGTGAAATCTGTCAGCTGTTTTGTAATAAAACGGTCTTCACAAATGATCATCTTATTGTGTTCTGTGGTTTTAATCTGAGGAAACATTTATTAAATTCGGGCAATCAGTTCAATAGTTATTCTTGTTAGGATATTCCACGTAAACATGGCCGTCAGTGTTGGCTATACCAGTCCAGGCATCATAGTATTCAGATAGGTGCTCACGACGCAACGAAATGTATCAGAAAGCCGGAGTTTAATGTCGGTTTATCTGCAATATAGTGAAAAAAAAAAATATTGCTCAAGCCATCTCAGCATTTTTCCCCTTTTTATAAACCCAGCCACCTCCCGAAAGAGAGGTACTTCCAGCTGGTCCCCCCCACCACTATCCTTTGAGTCTTGAGCAATATTCTTCTCGACATGTTCAAGATACAAGACATTACTCGCACCACTGACTAGAGTCCAAAGATTATATATTTACTCGAAGTTGACGGGATGTGACACAAGGTCGGTTTAACGTAGGGATCCCATCTCAGTGCAGAGAGGCCAGGGCTCAAAAACTGCCTAAAAAAAGATTTCAACGCGCGAAACGCTCAGAATTTAAATAAATTTCGAACATCGAAGAATTTCCGATCGTTACCGGGTGTAATGTCATGTGTTTATCAAATAAAGTTGAGAGAGAGAGAGAGAGAAAGAGAAAGAAAGAAAGAAAAAAAAAAAAAGAGACAGAAAGAGAAAGAAAGAAAAAAAAAAAAGACAGAAAGAGAAAGAAAGAAAAAAAAAAGAGACAGAAAGAGAAAGAAAGAAAAAAAAAGAGACAGAAAGAGAAAGAAAGAAAAAAAAAAAGAGACAGAAAGAGAAAGAAAAAAAAAAAAAGAGACAGAAAGAGAAAAAGAGAAAAAAGAAAAAAAAGAGAAAGAAAAAAAAAAAAGAAAGAAAAAAAGAAAAAAAAGAAAGAAAGAAAAAAAAAAAAAAAAGAGACAGAAAGAAAAAGAAAAGAAAAAAAAAAAGAAAGAAAGAGAAAAGAAAAAGAAAAAAAAAAAAAGAGACAGAAAGAGAAAGAAAGAAAAAAAATAGAGACAGAAAGAGAAAGAAAGAAAAAGAAAAAAAAGAGAGACAGAAAAGAAAAGAAAAGAAAGAAAAAAAAAAAGAAAAAAAGAAAGACAGAAAGAAAAAAAAGAAAGAAAAAAAAGAGACAGAAAGAAAAAAAAAGAAAGAAAGAAAGAAAGAAAAAAAGAAAGAAAAAGAAAAAAGAAAGAAAAAAAAAAAACAGAAAGAGAAAAAAAGAAAAAAAAAAAAAAAAAAGAAAGAAAGAAAGAAAGAAAAAAAAGAAAAAAAAAAAAAAAAAAAGAAAAGAAAGAGAAAGAAAGAAAAAAGAAAAAAAAAAAAGAGACAGAAAGAGAAAGAAAGAAAGAAAAAAAAAGACAGAAAGAAAAGAAAAGAAAGAAAGAAAAAAAAAAGAAGAAAAAGAAAAGAAAAAAAAAGAGACAGAAAGAAAGAAAAAAAGAAAAAAGAAAAGAAAAAAAAAAAAAAGAAAGAAAGAAAAAAGAAAAAGAAAGAAAGAAAAAAAAAAGAAAGAAAAAAATAGAGAAGAAAAAAAGAAAGAAAAAAGAAAAAATAGAGAAAAAAAGAGAAAGAAAAGAAAAAAAAGAAAAAGAAAGAAAGAAAGAAAGAAAAAAATAGAGACAGAAAGAGAAAGAAAGAAAGAAAAAAAAAGAGACAGAAAGAGAAAGAAAGAAAGAAAGAAAGAAAAAAAGAGACAGAGAAAGAAAGAAAGAAAAAAAAGAGACAGAAAGAGAAAGAAAGAAAGAAAGAAAAAAAAGAGACAGAAAGAGAAAGAAAGAAAGAAAGAAAAGAAAAAAAAAAGAGACAGAAAGAGAAAGAAAGAAAGAAAGAAAAAAAAAAGACAGAAAGAGAAAGAAAGAAAGAAAGAAAGAAAGAAAGAAAGAAAAAAGAGACAGAAAGAGAAAGAAAATGAGAAAGAAAGAAGAGAGAGAGAGAGAGAGAACAAGAGGAAATAGCGCGTTGCCTACCTAATAATCATATGTGGATGGATGGCAGTAAAGATTAGGGATCGATAAAGGGACAGATATTGTGGGATAGAGAGTTGTGGAAGGAAATGTTCGTCCATATTTTGAAAGGAATATGGTTCGTCAAATTCGAAATACTTTAAATCGGTCTCTAAAACCAACCATTACTATGATAAACCCATGATGTTGCAGCCGATAACTGTCGGTTCCAATATAAATTTGATCAGAAACTTTTCGGTGTTTGATATTTCTTTAAATTCTTTAAACGTTTCGCGTATTGAAATCTTTCTTTTTTTTTTGGTGTGTGAAAAATATAAACAAATCAAACGAAAGATTTAGGGGACATATTTCATCAGTGGGAAGACTGGATTTATGGCCTTGTGCCAGCCAAAGCAAAGTGCAGTAAACACTAAACTTGCATACACAGCAAATGAAAAAGATCGTAGCATCGTGCAGTCTTCCTAATTTTTTTGTCGCCCCTGGCTGACTTTTCTACAAACACCCGACTTCATTGTGTGTTTGTGTGTTTACGAGAACAGACAAGTCTTCAATTAATTTTCGAAATGCGTAGCTGATGCTGTTTTTTTTTTTTTTTTATGATGAGCCCGAAATATGTGTGTGTTTCCCTGAATTTGGGATGCGCGCATGTATTCGAGTCTTTTGTTCATTACGAGCCTCCCACCCACTCTTTAATAAGCCCCACCCGACATAATGTACCCCCCGTCCCATTCACCTTTGGCGTCATCGGGCGCACGGTAATTAAATGTAGGCGAATAGCAATTAGCGAAAAGCTGAACAGGTGCGTGTTTTGTCATACGGAAATGATTGAAAGTAAACAAAAAGTTGAAGAAGTGGAGGATAGAAAGAGAGAGAAAGAAACAATGAGGGAGGGGGAGTGAGAGAGAAGAGGAAGAAGAAAGGAGTTGAGAGATACAGGAAAATAATTCGGAAGCTGAGTGAGAGAGAGTGAGAGTGAGTGAGAGGAGGAGAGGGAGAGAGAGGGAGGAGAGAGAGGGAGGTAGAGAGAGGAGAGAGAGAGGAGAGAGAGAGGGAGAGAGAGAGAGAGAGAGAGGGAGAGAGAGAGGGGAGAGAGAGAGGGAGAGAGAGAGAGAGAGAGAGAGAGAGGGAGAGAGAGTGAGGGAGAGAGAGAGTGAGGAGAGAGAGAGGAGGGAGAGAGAGAGAGGGGAGAGAGAGAGGAGAGAGGAGGAGGTGAGGAGAGAGAGAGGAGGAGAGAGAGAGAGAGAGAGGAGGAGGAGTGAGAGAGAGAGAGTGAGGAGGGAGAGAGAGTATCGACATGAGTAACATAGGGTTGTGGTGGGAGGAGAATGTAAGAAATAATTTAAGGTGTTAGGAAAACGGAATCCAAAGAATAATTGTGGACGCGGCTGTGTGGAGCTTTAGCAGAGACAAAAAAAATGGACAATAGCCAGGAAGGCATATTTAAACTAAAGAAATTTTTCACAACATTCATCCGTCTGGGGTAGAGTAAGGCGCCAAAATGTTTGCCCCATTTTAAACGGGTGGCGCATAAATTTGTCAAAGACAAGGCGGAACTGTAATAAAATAAAATAAAATCAGAAAAAAAAAAAAATAGAGAAAAAAAAGAGATAAATGAACGTGGTATTGAGGCTGGAGGCGAGAGAGAAAAATCGAACACAAAAAAAAGGTAAATATTGGAATAAAGCAATGGCTGCCCTTTTGAGAAACAGATTTACGGAGGAGAAAAAAAAAGCAGTTACAACAAATGTATTCTGGTCTATGTGTTTAAGTAGACGTACAAAAAGATTATTCTTTGATGTGAGAGAGAGGGGAGAAAGAGGACAGAGAGAGAGGGGAGAAAGGGGACAGAGAGAGAGAGGGGGAGGGGACAGAGAGAGAGAGAGGGGGACAGGAGACAGAGAGAGAGGGGAAGGAGACAGAGAGAGGGGAAGGAGACAGAGAGAGAGGGGAAGGAGACAGAGAGAGGGGGGAAGGAGACAGAGAGAGAGGGGGAAGGAGACAGAGAGAGAGAGGGGGAAGGAGACAGAGAGAGAGGGGGGAAGGAGACAGAGAGAGAGGGGGGGAAGGAGACAGAGAGAGAGGGGAAGGAGACAAAGAGGGGGGAGAGAGAGGGGGAACGGAGACAAAGAGGGGGGGAGAGAGAGGGGAGAACACAAAGAGGGGGGAATGTCAGGGAAAAGACAAAGATGAAAATAAAATACTAGACAGCAAATAGCGAGATATAAAATGTGAAAGAGGGAGAAAGAGACGCCGCGAGACACGCACTGTCCTCAAACACCCAAGAAGCAAAAAAGTTATCAAACCTCAACAGAAAGGGGGAAAAAAATAAGAAAAGAGAAGCCTCCAAATAAATAAGTTGGTGGGTAAAGAGGCCAAAATTAAATGGCGGTAATCTTACAATCCAAGGGTTGAAAACGGATTGGAGGAAGTGAGGGAGATATCGTGCCCGAATTCACTTTGAGGGGTGGGTCAGAATTGGGTGTGGGTTGTAGTCGAGCATTGGTAGGTGGACACCGGCAAGGAAAACAGAAGCTCGGGTAACTAATTAGTAGGGACACCGGCCCGTCCATCTGGTATGTCTATATACCTTGAGGGTTTCTGAATATTATCGACTGGTCGGACAGGACAGGCAAGATAGTTAAGGCGTGCAATGGTCAGCGGGAATTTCAGGACACATTCAGCCACTAAAAACATCGACATAAAATGATAGAAGAGGAAAAAGGATTAAATGGATATTTTTATCTCTCAAAGAATTTTCTGTGGGGTTTGATTTTTTTCGGTGAGGGCAGTTATAATGTATGATGTAGTTGTCAGTAAATGCATTTTAATACAAAAGTGTTAGTGGGTTTCTCTCCATATCAAAATGTAGTCGTTGATAAATGTTTCCTCTAATCCCCCTAAACAGAAATAAGCAAATAAAATTCAAATAATTGTACAGGGTTCAATAGAAATACCTTCCACATATACATGTCTTACCATTATATGGGTGGTATTTCACATCCTGTATATTATAGCTTGCACTTGATTATATATATATATATATATATATATATATATATATATATATATATATATATAAAATCATGAGAGACGTTTATTAAAAATGGTTGAAAAGTACTTATCCTATTACTTTTTACAGTTTTTTTTTCTTGTATACTAAAAAATCTTTTCAAGGTTTTCGGTTGTATATGGAAATGGGACGTAAGTTGCTGAAAGGTAAAAATTGTTAATTCCCGCATATGGACAGTAAACTATGGCCGTGTTCGGCGTGCTTTTTATTTTTTTTTAATTTTATTTTTTTTTTTATAATGAGGGTCTCATTTTTATTTCAGAGTCGTGTATTATGTTTTCGACAAATATGTTGCGTGCAGAAATTGATAAATTTTCGTGATAAATTAAATTGGTCCATATAAAGCTATGGTCCGAGAAACATAGGCTCAGCCATCTTGATCAGCAAGTCGCTGGATGTCCGACATATAATTATTCAGGAATCAATGCAGTGATTCTATTCGAGAATGAAACAAAAATGTGTATCTTTCAGCAAATTAAACAGCATTTGCAATAGTCACTTTTAATGTAAAATGTATTAGAGAGTGATTGCTGACGAAATATACGCATGCGCGGGGCGGGCACTCAAATATACGTAGGGGAGAGGGTTTATTTTCCGTGAAAAAGAAACGATGGAAAAACGGAATGGCCTACTTGAAACGGAAATCGCGATTTTGAAATGTAATTTTTTTTCTAACAATTAGATTTGCCAACAGCCATTTTATTTGCTTGCCTTTCCTAACTAACTCGTCTGACAGAAATCAAAGGATAAAGTCGGTACTATATCCATACAGTTTACAGTATTTAGAAACCAAGGTTTACGAAGTTTGCCTGATTTTTTTTTTTTAGAAAAAGGGGGTAAAAACAAAAATTTAAATAATTCTATTTTGTTTTAATAAACATTTATATATCGTTACACTTTCTCATTAAATATTATAATGAAGCAAAAACAGAAGTCTATACTGAAAACGGAATTCCCTAAAAGCTGAAGTGGAATTAAGGAAAATTTCAAACGGAAAATGTGTGTGTGAGTGAGTGAGAGAGAGATTCATGAGGAGATCCATCTTGATGTTAAACTAGGTGGGGAAAATAATGGGGACTTCATAAGGGATAGAGGGTTATACTTGTATATAGAGTTTTAGAAATGTGTTCTGTGATGTGGTCAGCTGTCTGACAGAATCATACTCGTGAAGCTTAAATGGAACCCGTTTAAGTTATACAGTAATATACTCGCCAGTGACACAGATATGAAATACTGCCAAATAAAAGGAAAACGAAAATAAGGTCAATACTTTAATCATGCCATATCTTCGAACCATTGCATTATGGTTAAGGGTTCGGTTAATGTAAAATGAATATTTATCAACATAAATCCGTTTTATTGGTGTAGTTAGCTCGGATCTTTATGGAACTGATCTTTATTTTCGAGATTGAATGTTTAGAAATAAACAAACTACATTATAATTTAATCTCCAGTCATAAGCTGACTCTTCTTGCTATCATCTTCCATTACAAGTCGTTTCAGATTTAAATTTTGATTTTTTTTTAATCTTTTAATACAAATAACTAATTTTGATTACTTTGAAATTGGGAGGAATTATCTTAAGAAATTCTTTGACATATTCCGACCTTCTTTCTTTTGAACATTAACACTTGGAATCTATTCGTTCCAGAAATTCGTCTATAGAAACCAACCTCTAAAGCGTACAGTTACGTCCGGGAAAAAAAAAGGTAACAAAAGGTAACCACATTTACAAGCGCCAGATCAGGTCGAAAATGGATTACTGAATGCCGGCCACAATCTTACCGATATAAGATACGCAGATGACACAGTACTGATAGCAGACACGGAAAAGAATTTACAAAACCTCTTACAGATGGTAGCGAAGGATAGCGAGAAGAGACTAGCCATAAACTTACAAGAAGACAGAATGCATAGTCATCAATAAAAGGATGAGGCCAAATTGCAGGTCGGGGACATTAAGATCAAGCATGTGCGGAAGTGTTATGTCGGAGGACGGTAGTTGCGACACTGAGATCCGAAGACGGATTGGGATGGCCAAGGGTGCATCCCAAAAGCTAGGCAGAGTATTGCGAGACAGGAGGATTTCTTTGGTGACAAAGCAAAGAGTACTGAGCTGCTACGTGATATCTGTCCTCCTATACGACAGCGAATGTTGGACGGTCTCCTCAAAGATGAAGAAGAGACTCGAGGCAACGGAGATACGGTTCTTCTACAGAAGGATGCTAAAGATATCATGAACAGAGCGTGTGAACAACGATGAGGTCTTGGAGAAGATGCAAACAAGGAGGAAGCTTATACTTAACATCGGGGAGAGGCAGATGACATTTCTGGGACACATAATGAGAAAGGAAGGTCTGGAGAATCTGATTCTCACAGGTCGAATAGAGGGAAAACAACGCATGACATACCTGGCGGACTTAAGGAAGTGGAAGACAGAACGTGGTCTGGTGGAGCTAGAAGAGGCACGAAATTTATTGAGAGCTATAAGAGATAGGGAGAAGTGGAGAGTCATGATCGCCTACGTCCTGAATGGTCAGGGCGCATAAGAAAAAAAAAGCTGCCACATATGGGCAAGAGTCCAAAAGTATCTACCCGCCCTTGTGCGTAACAAATTATTTTCATTATACAGTCTGTGCCTCACAGACGAAACACGGAATGTCTCTCCCTGTTCTATCGCTAATTTCCATGGAAAGTGCTCAGACGAACTACATTGCTTAGTCCCACCAGTTCTAACCTTAACAGCTAAGACCCACCATGCCACGCCCATTGTAGCGAGCCACATACATTGCCTTAATATTCTATGGGTGAGAAGTAAGTTCTCCTTTCCCCGATTACTACAATCTTACCCTGTTCAAGTCTAGGATTAACTAATATCTTCCACACATATGTGACTAAACAGTGCCTATCCCCTCTGTAACCCTATACCTTGAGTGACTACTGGGTTCACTGTAAATAAAAGAAAAAGAAAAGACATACAGTCGAAATTTAGAGCCGCTTTGCCTTCGCCTCTATACTTTCATTTTCTCGAAAATGAACAGGTTCCCGACGAAATAAAAGGTCATTTTCAGAAAGTGCCTAGCAAACGCCATCGTAAAAATACATTTTCGTCGAAAAATATTCATTTTAGATTAACCGAAACGTCACCTCATTGTAACTGAAAAGAGGGAAAACCATCTTCAAGATAATAGCAGCAATTAACTTTTGACATTTCACGATCTACCAAAAGGACTTAAAGACCGTGTCTGACTCTAATTTTGGCAATTTTTTCTTTTCTTTCTTTCTGTTCCCAAACGGATTAGAATCGAGGAAGGGCAGTGGTAACCCGATTTCTTGTATTACATTTCCAGTAATTTCTATCAAAATTCGTCAGAACATTTTTTTTTTGTCTTATCAGTGAAATTCAATGCGATAAGAAACGCCTCAGGTTGTGCTACGTTCAGCAGACTGTACAGAGATGTGTGCCTTTCCGATAATTAATCATCTACACAGACGTGCGCACAGAATCTCGTGCAGATAGAAGAGGCTGTCAAAAACATTCGACCATTAATTCAATATCATCTTAATTACGATCCATATAATAAGAAAAGGAAGTTTTAAGGTATTCTATATTTATGGATAAAGTGCTCAGTGTCAGGGATAGAGCATGCGTAAAAGTGGACCTTGAACGCAGTCTTCAGGCCATGTGTGTTGCGTGGTGGCCAGATATATAAATAGTTGACTTACCACAAAAACGTACATGGCCTGATGACTGTGTTCACGCATGAAAGACTGTCGCAACTGTGTGACAACCTCAGTGTCCACTATATATATATATATATATATATATATATATATATATATATATATATATATATATATATATATATATATAGAGAGAGAGAGAGAGATAGAGATTAGGGCACCTCGGCGTGGTGTAATGGTTAGCAATCTAGTCTTGCTAGATCAGTTACTACTGAGAAGTGAGTTCGACCCTCACTGGATGCCCCATGCTTTCGGCCTTGTGCCACATCCAAGCTAAGGTTGAAAAATCACTATATATATATATATATATATATATATATATATATATATATATAGAGAGAGAGAGAGAGAGAGAGAGATTAGCAAAGTGTTTTTTAATCCTTTGATTACCTCAATCGTTAATGGGGGACGGAGTGCAGAAGAAACAGTCTTTTCATGATACCTCGGCGGCGACTATCTCCTCTCCAAACTCTTGACCGACAGCCGAAAACTACAGAATATTGTGCGGATCTCTTTCAGTCCGTATATTGGGCAATCAAATATTGAATTCAATGTTGTCCTTCTCCTACATCGGTTTCCAAACAAGGCTATATGACCCATTCTGTCCTGCTTATTTAACCCATTGGTGGAGGGAGAAGAGATGGAGTCCATACCTTTCCCTAAGGGTATTAGCACCTAAGTGAATGTACTGAACTTGACTGGAATTCAAACTCGTAACTCCTCCTCCCAGAAATTCATACAGAAATGTAAAATAAAAAACTAGATGAGATATCCCTAGACATGGGCAGTGGAAAAAGAACAGTCTACTATTAAATAAAGGATTCAGTTCGGAATTCCCTGTAGGTTTAACTGGATCGACATGCATCTGATGAAGTTTGGTCAGCACAATGTTCGAAACGTTGTGATAACAACAACAAAGACGACGACAACAGTTCGTATGTAAATAATGTAAGTAATGATAACTTCTCACCTCATAAATTCAGACGAAAACTGTTTACGTACAAGAATCTATATATAAAATTTTGGGACTTCCGTTAGTCCGCCCGTCACACCCTCTAAAATAGCCATATATTGATCGAATGAAGCCAAATTTTGGAGAGAAGTGCAAACAAGTAAGGGGTACAAAGTACATTTGGTTTTACTAGGGTGCGTAACTTAGTACACTAAATTTACATCATGGCCCAGTGGATAAAAGCGTTGTTTGAAGTAATCCAAAAGTGACTTGACCCAAAGAGTTGTGAGTTCAATACCTGGCCACAGCAGAGGTGAACAAAAATTTGGAGTTGAGTAACTAAAGACAATTAACTGAAACTGAAATATCTAGAAAAAATATGGCACGTGGAAATAGAACAATCTACCCCGTGGACTAAATAAAGGATCCGGTTCAAAATTCTAATTTATATCACCTGAAGAAGGCCAAATCATACAACGGACGAAAAGTCGTGAATATGACAATGAAGATGCGGACAATAGTCAGAACGATGTAGGTAGTGTAAAAAAAAAATATTTAAGTAAAGGAGGATGAACATTAAAAAAAAATATATTCAAAACATACATTTTCCGGGACATTATTTTATTTACTCTCGCCACACCAATTCACTAAAGAGGTACTGAGAATCTACGTTGTAATCATTTTTTATCTCAAGAATTAACAACGAAAAGGTTAAACATTATTTATCAGACTGAAAGAGAAGAGGGGCGGAGAGATAGGAGAGAGAAGAGGGAGAGAGAAGAGGGGGCGGAGAGAGAGAGAGAGAAGAGGGAGAGAAGAGAGATAGGAGAGAGAAGAGGGGGGCGGAGAGATAGGGAGAGAGGAGAGAAGAGGGGGAAGAGAGATAGGAGGAAGAAGGGGGGGCGGAGAGAGGAGAGAGAGGCGGAGAGATAGGGAGAGAAGAGATAGAGAGAGAGGAGGGAGGAGAGATAGGAGAGAAGAAGAGGGGCGGAGAGATAGGAGAAGAGAGGGGAGAAGAGAGAGAAGAGGGAGAGAAGGGGGCGGAATAGAAGAGAAGAGGAGAGATAGGAGAGAGAAGAAGAGGGGGAGAGGAAGAGAGAAGAGAAGAAGAAGAGAAGAGAAGAGAAGAGAAGAAGAGAGAGAAGAGAAGGAGAGAAAAGAGAGAGAAGAGAGAAAAGAGAGAAGAGAGAGAAGAGAGAAGAGGAGAGGAGAGAGAAGAGAGGAGAGGAGAGAGAAGAGAGGAGAGGAGAGAGAAGAGGAGAGAGGAGAGGAGGGAGGAGAGAAGCAAAATTAATTAAAAGAGTTGAGAAGAGGGGATAAGAGGTGTAATTAATTTTTTTTCTCTCGGTTTAATTAATAAAGACGAACGTAAAGTGAAACGAGAAGGCGAAGAAAAAGTTCTGCCGGATAGAAAATTTCGAAAATGTTTATGATTAACCGCTCCCCAATCCCTACTGCCCCCCCTGAAAGAAACGTCATTTTGCTGCTACTTGAACACCGTGTTAAACACAGAAAGCAACAAAAACAGTTTTACACAAACACACATGCATACAAAATGCCCGTGTGTGTGTGTGTTTCACAAAGGAAAGCTTAGTTATGGCACAAGGCAAAAAGTATTGGGCACTCAGGATAGAAATCAATACTCAGTCGTTATTGATCTTGTGAGACAAGCTTGCTAACCATTACACTGCATTGAAGTGCCATATAGTGATTTTCTAAACGCAACTTAGATGTGGCTCAAGGGCGTAATTACGAGGCACCAAGTGAGGAGCGAACTCACTACTCAGTCATAATAGATCTAGCAAGACAAGCTTCCTAACCATTACACCTCTCTGAAGTGCCATATATATATATATATATATATATATATATATATATATATATATATGTATATATATATATATGTGTGTGTGTGTATCTTGCTCTGTTTTTACACTAGCTCTCTGGATTACATCCTCCTTGGGATTATCCATACAGATTACCAAACACATACATGATACCTTTGTCCCTAAACCATGCTTAAACCCAGCGCCATCACTTGAGTGTTAGCGCCTGTTTTGTTATTGTAGCAGTTGTTTCGCTCCAAAAGCAGTGCCTCCTATTATGTAGGTGAGATGGAGATGACAATATAGAATGAACCCCCCATATTTCGGTCAGTCATGAACTACTGTCAACCCCTGATGTTTATTGTGTGATATATATATATATATATATATATATATATATATATATATATATATATATATGTGTGTGTGTGTGTGTGTGTTCAAGTTTTAAAGTATGCTATAAACTATGCTATATCTATGAGTAGAGGATGCACGGTGGAGTAATAGATAGCGGCTCGGATTGAGAAAACGAAGAATCGAGTTCGAATTGCAGCCACTTACGTGCTAATACTAATAATGGGAAAGGTATGAATCCTCTTCTCCCCACTCCTAGCTATGGGTAAATAACAGGACAGACCGATTCTATAGCCTTGGATGGCAACTGGTCTACCGTAGAAAGAAATGGCAACCTACGATCATGATCGCCTAAGCGTTATCACGTATGGCACATAACTGACTGATATTTATGGGTAAAAGTGCTGAATATCATATATATATATATATATATATATATTAGAGAGAGAGATATTTAAAATGGGAATACTATTCATGAATTTTTATATATCAAGAACAATTTTAGGGAAATCTATAACAAAGTGGAAAGTTTTCGAGTGACGTGATTTTTGAAGTTCTACTTTTTCCAGTTTGTCATATATTTTCCTTATATATTATTACTACTACTACTACTCTACACGAAATATTTTAACGTCTCCACATTGGGTAAAAGAAATATTCTTTATTTTTTACATTGTGTTAGATTTATCGTTTTGTGCATTCGAGGTTCATGCAGTCAATTCCAAATTATCAAAGCTATCTTATATACCTTCTAAAACCCAAAATATCCCAAGAGATTTCTCTTCAGAGGTATCCACCGATACAATTACGTTAATGTGGAGGTTTTTAATGTAAGTGCATATTTAGTATTCTTCCGCATAATTTTGTCGATTCAACACAAGTCGTTACATTAACGACTAAGAATAAAAAAAAACACACACACACATCAAAAGTAAAACATTTTTAGCCTTTTTTCGCCCGCTTTTTCTTCTATTTATTTAAATAACACTATTTTTTGTAAAGCGATATTAGTTTTCATCTTTCACGAGTCCATCGACCGCTCCATCTCTACATTAGCTGTCACGTTTTATTTTATTTTATTTTTTTAAAAAGAGAAGGAGAAAGGGTGATGCTCTAATTAAATGAAGAAATCCTGAACTTTCTATCGACATCAAAATGGCCAGGGAATGAGGAAGTGCTATGGAGAAAGGGGCTAGTCGAAGATCGATAGAGGGTTCGGGTTGGCAGAAGTTGAAATTAAATACAATGATCCTTAATGGTGGTTGTGACAAATAACATTAAGTAGACAACCATAATCTTTTAAAGGCGAAAAATACGGGAAGGAAAAAAGAAAGAAGGTTTAGCGCAGATTAAAATATAGAAAGTGTGTGAGCGAAGGAGGGGAGTTAATCAGGAAAAATTTCGATTTCGTATATTGACGCGCGATAATGTGCAATTTTATTTGTGGAAAATTCCTTTCTACAGATGAATCTTAATTTTACACGCACAATAAGAGTTGTCAAAGGTGCCGCGAATTAGCGGATTCTGCACCACCTCTCCAATCGAGCTCTGGATAGCAACCAGTCTAGGAGAAGGAAAGTTGAATTAGAAAAACGTGATGAAGGCAACGAGAAACCAAGACCTGTCACGAAAACAAGCAGAAAAAATACGCAGTTTACAGATCTGAAAAGAAAAGGAAGCAGTGGAGCGTCATGAATTCCAATATACTGAAAAAGGCATAGGCTCGGATTTAGAAATCGGAGAGCAGAGTTCGAATTCCAGTCGAATCCATTACATTCACTTACATGCTAATACCCTTGGGAAAGGTATGAATCCTTTTCTTCCCCCACAGTTACGGGTAAATAGCAGGACAGAGCGGGTACTATAGCCTTGGATAGTAACTGGTCTACCACAGAAAGAAATGGCAACCTAATGCGGGAGAAAAATCTGCCTCTTCACTCATATATCGGAAAATACGTAATCGCCTAAGTGTGTATTCGCCTATTAGGCATGGCACATAACTGACTGATAAACAGAGATACAGTGACAGACACACACACAAGCACACAAAAAGACACACGCACAATGAGAGAGAGAGATACATACAAACACGCAGTGACAGACAAGAGACATGAGAGAGAGAGGGAGAGATGCACAACGAAAAGAGAGGAGACATACAAAGAGAGAGGGAGACAGACAATGGAAATCGACCCAAATATGGAGTCGGTCATCATATTTTTCAACTGAGGTCGTTTAGAAATAAAACCAAGCTTCCGTCTAATGATTTTTATACAGAACTTTTCTTCCCGACCCAATTTTTACATAAACATTTTCATCTGAAAATTTCTAAAGTAAATTTCAGAAGTGGCAGTTGTGTAAAAAGCCAATGGAAAATAAATGAAATAGCCGTGTATTAGTCCCCACAGTACACAAATTCCTACTCCGAAATAAACGAATTGTCACAATTAATTACCTTATATGTATGAGATCTAGTTATAGAAGTTTTATTTATCGTCTCTTTTGCCTTCAACATGATTTAATACACGCTAACATCGTAACCCGACGACTAATTAATGTGTATATGAGCATCTGTGTGTAATTAGATATTCAATTAAATAAATAAATAAATAAAGTACATTAAAAAAATAAGGTAAACAAAAAGATGGCATGCTGACGACAATGTTAAAAGCGGGCTTTGATATTTATCAGATTGCAACGACGGATATTCTTTATGCTGAAATAAGAAGCCTATTTTTAAAAGAATGTAAAAGACGTAGTAAGACGTTGGAAAGAAATTTCATTTTCGTAAAGGCAAAGTTTATGTATATTTGTAGGGTTTTTGCTATAATTTGGAAGTTAAAGTTTATTTAATAAAAAAAGAAAAAAATAATAATCAAACCGGATGGAAATGTTATGGTCTATGTTTAAAACTTGGCCGTGGGAAGATAAATAAATTTAAAATTACACAATTACAATAAAGCACAATCAGTAAACATGGATAAACGCGCTCGCAATAAGACGTAATGTCAAAAGGGAGGGTTTTTCCCATGACACCATCTTTATTTTAACATTCTTCACTCTTCGACAATATTAGTTTGGTTAACAGCATATCAACCTCAATGGGTTATTTAATGCCGACAAGATTTTTTAGGATAGATTCGTATGAATAGAATATGTATTCTTTGGTTTAGATTGGTTTGGTTTATTTTGTTTTACGGCATATCAACCTCAATGGGTTATTTAATGCCGACAACAATTTTAGGATAGAATCGTATGAATAGAGTATGTATTCTTTGGTTTAGATTGGTTTGGTTTGGTTTGTTTTACGGCATATTTTTTTTTCAAGAATGTATTGCTGGTTATATATATATATATATATATATATATATATATATATATATTTATTTACTAAGTATTTCTGGTATTAAACTTATTTTTATACTTTCATAGTGTTTAGACAGGGGGGAACTATTTAACTATAGCTGGAACCCTAACAGGTGCTACCACCCTAGGTTAGACTGGACCTGGGAACATCAGCAATTAAGAAGTGGTTCAACGCTCCTCAAAACCTCGCCTTGCTGGTGGACGTAGTTTATCGTCTTACCCAGGACGCAGATGAGGTTTATCGTCATCCGCGGGAAAGGACAATATTGCTTTTTTAAAAAGAGATGATTAGAATTGGAACAAAACCTAAACATATGAAAGTAAATTTATACATTTTCTTTTTACCCTTGAGAATTTACAAAAATATTAAACACTATTAGATTGATTATTTACAAGAATAATTTTATATTTGCAACATTCTAAAAACTAATACAATTACAGAACTAATGCAATTCAATATTTATCATTTACCAATTTATACAGAAATAAAAAGGTGATTTTTTTTTCATAAATTTATAAACACTTACTAAATTATTAAAATATATGAACCAACGATAAGGAAATCCTTATTTTATAAAGCTTGAATCAATTGGCAATTAACAAATGTTTTGGCCAACCATCCCAATAAACAATCTTATGAATTAGTGTAAATAAACAATCTATTCTAATAAATAGTGTTGAGTGGATATGATTCGAACGTCATTCACCTGTTTCACTTAGGCCAATAACCATCAAAAATACATACACATCTTCCCACCAAATAAGGAAAACCTATTAGATCACTTTTAAGGGATCATTTTAATGCAACAGTATTTCATATTGCTAGAAACGTTATATTTGGTACGTACACGTGTTGACGTCAGTAGTGTGCAGAGTAGCGGCGGGGGAGGGGAGAGTGTGCGACGGCCCCAGGCATCCATATCGGGAGGGCAGCCAATCAAAGAGTGAAATAAATAAAAAAATTAGTTCATATTTAATTTGAATAAAGTGTTTATTTCATGTTTCATCAGTTTTTACATATTTAAAATGTCTTGCTTTCTCGCATTTCTCAGTACTGGGCCCTATAGCACCCCACCACACACACTTGAGGCATACAATCAAGGAGCTGGCCCCGGGCATTACCAAACATCAACCTCTGCACGTCATTGGTTTTAGTAGATATTTTTTCCATTAACAGTGTAATTAAGGTCTACTGTCTAGAGTCCTACGAAAGAAAATTTACCCACAGAATATAACTTATAAGATATAAAATTTTAACTTTGGGTTAATTTTTATTTTTGTGTATGTGGATATTTATAAAGGGTAAGTGGATTTTTTAAAATCTGGAATTTTAATAATTTCAAACGTTATTATAGCAGTCTGTTTCATCTCATATGCAATCAGCAGGTTATAATATTTGCAAACAAGCATGGAACAGACTGTTCGTTCTGGGGGTATCGACTTCAATGTTCTATAAGGAGTTATGGTTTAATATTGAAATTAAGCCTTGGCACTGAATGGAATCATATTTTTATAATAATAATAATAATAATAATAATACAGAGAGTAATTCTCCATGTATAATATGCATTTTTCTGAAAAAATAAAAAATAAATAAAAAATAAAAATAAGCAAAATCAGGGTTGCGTATTATGCACAGATACAAAAAAAATCTTTAAAAAGATGCCGTAAAATAAAATAAGAATTAACATAAAACTAAATTAGAATAACATTCCATGTTTAAAACCATTTTTTTTTAAAATAAGAGTAGGAAACGCTGGCCGTAATGAAATTGGAGAGATGCAATTTATAGGGTTTGATTACCAAACAAGGGGTGCGTATTATGCGTGAGTAGAAGCATTTTCCCCACACTTTAAGCACAGTTTTAGGGGTACTTATTATGGATGAAGGCGTATTATACGTAGGGAATTACGGTATATATATATATATATATATATATATTTCTCTCCCATATGAGAATGACAGTGCTTGTGTGTACACGTGAATGTATTGTGAATTCACTTATTGAAGGTGGGGGGGGGGATATTCGTTTCAAGAAAATTATCCATATTCCTAACAAACCCGCCCAAAAATAATTTAACCTCAGTTTGATTTATCTCATTTCAATAAAAAAAATATACAGAAAAAAAAATAATGGGAGCATTTGCATAAAATAAACAAACTAGCTTAAGTGACAGACAACCAAATCAAAAAAAAAAATCGTAAGTAAATAAAATCAAATCGGGCAATCAATTTCAAATTATTTATAATCAATTCAAAACGCAATTATGTTTCCCACCTCCATGTTTCTTTCACTCCGCGTGGCAGTGTCATCCCACCACAAACCAATCAAAATTCGACAAACGCATTTTAAAATTCTATCTTTATTTTTCTTCGCGTCTTTAAAATCTAGATATGAGCTTCCTCTTCGATTCTATCCTCTTTACCAATAATTGCCATTATTATTATTATTATTATTCACAAAAGAAATTGGCAAGAAATTTAGAGAGATCGTTGTCATTTATTACGCGAAAGTCAGTTTGTGTGGCGACATGAAACGAAGGACAAAATCATTTAAACGATATTTGTCGACATAATTTCTGGAAGGGAGTGGGGAGGGCGAAAATAAATCGACAACGACGAAAGGAAATTGACTGGCAATGTCGTCACAACTAAACAGAGTTAACAACCTTACGAAACATGTGCTCGTCTCGATAAATCAATTACGACTGAGTAGTAAGTTAGATCCTCATCTGGTGCTCCATACTTTCGGCCTTGTGACACATCTAAGTTACGCTTATTGAATCGCTTTATCAGAAATACTCCCCTGCCTGATTATTTCGCTTCTCAGAAAAAAACAAAACAAAAAAACTGGGGGACTTGAACAAATGTCATTAAAAAGTAGTTAAAGAAAAATAATGGTTGTAGATTGCAGAAACGACCTGAGTGCTGTGATATAAAGAAAAGAGAAAAAAAAATATGAAAATATCAAAACAAACAAAAAATAAATAAATCGATGATAAAAAGCGCCTCTTATATGGCAGAAATATCTGGCCAGGAATACCAATTTTAATGCGATCTCTGTTTTCCTCGAAGAAAATCTTCCCACAGAGAGAAATTTGGTACAAATATCCCGCAAATTAAGAAAATAGATAATCTTAACATCGACATTTGTTTTGAAGTGCATATTTGGAATATGAAGGATAGAGAGAAAGAAATAGAGAGAGAAAGAGAAATAGAGAAAGGAATAGAGAGAGAAATAGAGAAAGGAATAGAGAGAGAAATAGAGAAAGGAATAGAGAGAGAAATAGAGAAAGGAATAGAGAGAGAAATAGAGAAAGGAATAGAGAGAGAAAGGTAGAGAAAGGAATAGAGAGAGAGAGGTAGAGAAAGGAATAGAGAGAGAAATAGAGAAAGGAATAGAGAGAGAGAGGTAGAGAAAGGAATAGAGAGAGAGATATAGAAAGGAATAGAGAGAGAGAGGTAGAGAAAGGAATAGAGAGAGAGAGGTAGAGAAAGGAATAGAGAGAGAGAGGTAGAGAAAGGAATAGAGAGAGAGAGGTAGAGAAAGGAAGAGAGCGAGAGAGGTAGAGAAAGGAAGAGAGCGAGAGGTAGAGAAAGGAAGAGAGCGAGAGAGAGAAAAAAGAGAGAAAAAGGAAGAGAGAAAAAGGAAGAGAGAGAAAGGAAGAGAGAAAAAGAAAGAGAGAAAAAAAGGAGAGAGAAAAAGAAAGAGAGAGAAAAAGAAAGAGAGAGAAAAAGAAAAAGAGAGAGAGAAAAAGAAAAAGAGAGAGAGAAAAAGAAAGAGAGAAAAAGGAAGAGAGAGAGTGACTGGGAAGGGATGGAGATGGAGTTAGAGATCGAAAGTGAAAATGGCAACTGCTATGCCATTTGAAAGACGAGGCAGACAAAGACAGCCGAAAGCGGGAAGACATCGATAACTAATGAACGAGGCGGCATGTTTTGCTCTGAAACAAATACAGTCGGGTACTGACTTTATATAGTTTCTCTGAACACGTGTTTTCAATGAACTGATTTCACTGCCGCAATTTTTGAGTAGATAACGCCGAGAATTAGCAATTTTTTTTCTTACATTGTTTGTAAAAATAAGTAAATACTATTACAATGACACACAAACGAAGGTTGTGTACAAACTTTCTATTACAGTAAAAAGATGCTGAGTAATACTGGGGTAGCGAGTTCGATCCTCATATAGGACAAATGTTACTTGAACTGGTATCAGGTTACTATAATAGATTTTATACAGGGTGGGTGTTAAAAAGTTATCGAACCGGACAAGAGTTATTTATATTTTTTTTATATTTTTTTTTTTCAAAATGCGATGGGCCGTTCAGGTTTGTTTTTTTTTTTTTTTTTTTTTTTTTTTTAATTACAAGGTTGAAAATTCAGAACAAGTTATCTACAAACTGCTGATAAAAAGCTAGTGAAATCATTGTTAGTTCGGGTTGGAGACAGTCATATGGGTGATGGACAGACACACAAAGACCCCTTCCAGTAGGATATAAAAAAGCATAAGAAACATAGAAAAGTTTGGTAGATTTGTATTTCTTAGGCCTTGCATACACACAGGCGCGCGCGCACACACACACTTCCTCCAACTACCTAACCAGCAAAAATAAACAATCATTAGCGTTAAACAAAAATTGAGACGGGCTAGTTTCCTTTTCATCCATAACCTGTATAAAAAAAAAACACTATATGTACACCCAGCTAAAGGAGAACTGACACTTAGTTTGGATATCGCAATGAGGTGCATAACTGACAGTCACCATGGAGTATGGATTCTTTATGCCTTTCATATATGTATATAGAATTCAATGTTCACTTACCTTGTCTCTGTTATAAGTTTCGCATAGGACTTGACTCTAACATTGAATTTATTTTCAAAAATTATTTTTTTCTTAAAAGACGTCCTTTAAGGAAAAGTAATTCAATATCTAAGGAGAAAATGATTTTTGAAACATTCAATTTTACACTAAAGTCCCCCAAATAGTGGACGTAATCTTTCCGAAACTCAAAGCAGAGACAGGATAAGTGAACGATTCCTGGTTTTAATAACGTTATCTTACAAAATTAACCTGATAAACAATTTTCTTTAAGAAACACCAGCTTTCATGCATGTGTGCGTGTATGCGTTTTCAAAAGGCACTACATTTAGGAGAAAGAGTGCTCAATATCTGAAATAAAACGTTTGTAAATATAAATACGGGTAGAGAAATCAACACAGTATAGTGACTGTCAGATTCAGGTTTCAAGCGAATTTCAGAGCATAAATATTTGCACACCCAGTACATTTTGATTGGATCAATAATCATAATTCAATTGTCTACATGACCAATAATTATTTATTTCCATAATGAAACTTAATTAACGCTAGAAAAGTTGTAATTCTATTGAAATAATTGTTAAATATCAATTTATCTTGTCAAACGATTATCGAGCGTAAAATCTTTAAAACCAAGCTTTCATTTCGTAACAATTGTTCAACCTTTTGTTTCAGAAATTTCTTCTCAGTAATTAACTTTGACCTGCAATTGTTGATTTCGCCACGAACTCCGTAGATAAAAATGGAAAGATTCCACGACCCTCAACTTTATCCATTGTTTTCTCTTAGAATTAACAATGCCAACCAAATCCTTAAGTCCTTTTTCTGAAAATTAGATTAAGTGGATCAGGTCGATCGTAAATGTTAAGGTTTACAAAAATAATGTATCTATCGAAAACTAGTTAGGGTTTTGAGTAAAGTGTACAGCGACAAATCGTTGGCAGGAAATCCAATGTCATTAATATGGAGAGAGGTGAGAGAGAGAGAGAGAGAGAGGTGATAGAGAGAGACAAATGGGAATATGAGAGAGAGAGAGACAAATGGGAATATGAGAGAGAGAGAGACAAATGGGAATATGAGAGAGAGAGAGAGACAAATGGGAATATGAGAGAGAGAGAGAGACAAATGGGAATATGAGAGAGAGAGAGACAAATGGGAATATGAGAGAGAGAGAGACAAATGGGAATATGAGAGAGAGAGAGAGAGAGACAAATGGGAATATGAGAGAGAGAATATGAGAGAGACAAATGGGAATATGAGAGAGACAAATGGGAATATGAGAGAGACAAATGGGAATATGAGAGAGACAAATGGGAATATGAGAGAGACAAATGGGAATATGAGAGAGAGAGAGACAAATGGGAATATGAGAGAGAGAGAGACAAATGGGAATATGAGAGAGAGAGAGAGAGAGACAAATGGGAATATGAGAGAGAGAGAGAGAGACAAATGGGAATATGAGAGAGAGAGAGAGAAATGGGAATATGAGAGAGAGAGAGAGAAATGGGAATATGAGAGAGAGAGAGAGAAATGGGAATGAAAGAGATACGCATTCACCTGCACACATACGTAATTGAACACAAATCACTCAATAAAAATACGAAAAAAAAAAAAAAAAAAAAAACGAGTTTTAAAAAAGCAGAAAAATTATTACCACGTCTCATCTAGTCTGACATGAGAAAAATGTATATCTAATTTATTTAATTTACAAGTTAACTGTAGTTTGTTTATCGTCAAATTCTGTACAGAGGCACCTAGCGAGGATCGAACTCACTACTCAGTTTGTGATGTTTAACCACACCTAGCCTCGCTAAAAATTATTACCCGAGTCGGGGAACATTAAAATGTCAAGATCATTATTTGTTTCACATTTTTGTAAAGTTGTCATTTTAAACGCTAGATAAATAATAAATATCGACAATAAATTACTTATGAAGAAGGCGGCTAATTATATATATATATATATATATATATATATATATATATATATATATATATATATATATATAAAAAGAGTTGATTCATGCCTGCTAACAAATAAATTTAGCCGGACAACATATAAAAAGCACTTCTATCGTATCTGTACTAACCCTGAAAAATGGAGCCTGACACTCTGGAAAAATCGCTCTCGCCGGCCTCGAATTAAATAGGAAAGCGATAGAAAGAAGAGAGAAGTCGTTTATATTTTTATACGAGACAGTGTAAGCTGAAGTCTAGGACCCTGAGAAATGTTTTATATTAGCCTTACAATATTAGAAAAGACGAGAGATGCATTAGTCCGGTTTACCGAAATTTGACAAAAAAACGCATTATGATAATTAAACGGACAGAAAGATCGACGGGGGTATAAATAAAAAATAAAGAGAAAAGAATAATAATAATAATAATAAAAAAAGATGCGACACAATATACATTAAGAGATAGGGGAGGAGTTTTTGTCAATAAGATAACATTTTTCATTATCGAAATGGATTTCACTCACTCGTTTCTTCCTCATTCCATCATTACATCCACATCCCTTGTAGAAGTTGATTTCGTTTTCCGACCAACAGCGATCCAGTCCATATTTTACATTCAACCGGCCAAGGAAATTCATCTTCCTTCACTCCAAGGCGAGAGACAAGAGAGCAAAGAAGTCATAACAACCTAGTTTTTATTTTTATTTTATTTTCCTAACCGTTCTTTTTATTTGTTTTTTAATTTTAATTTTTCAATTAAGGAACAGTTTCCCCACTTTAATATTTATTTATTTATTCCGTAGGATTCCCCGCCCAAATTTCTGACATTTTTATTATTTTCACTATCGTTGGATATCTGAAATTCAATTCCAATGTTTTATAGATTCTCAACGGCAAAAATATATTTCTCGTACAGAGATGAAGAGAAAATATATTTATAAAGTAGAGAGAATGTTGATAATTTTGGTTGGGAATATTTATTTTCCGTTATTTTATAAATAATACAAAATCGTGCCTCTCTCTCTCTCTCATTTTGATTAGGGGTAAAAAAATGGTTACAAATGGAAAGAACACAATGAATTATGAAGAAAATGAAAAAAAAAAAAAAAAAACGTTCTGGTTCGTTTTTAAAGCCGCGAGAAGACCCACAAAATGGAAAATGAAGAAAAAAAAATAGAAAAAAATTAATTAGATACAGACAGTGATAATGTCTGTGTGCTCGACGAGATAATTAAAAAGACCTTTCGTATTGTTAATTTCGGCGCAACACTGTCTTTCCCCCTACATTCATACAGACTGCCTATTTACCACGAGGAGCAGATGTAGAAGTTCGAGCCCCGATAAAACCAGAACTGTTGATTTGTTAAATCAGGCAAGCTCACTTTAAAACACCGGCGCAACACAATCTTTCTGCTTCGATTTCTATTTTCTTCATCAAAGATGAATGGAAGATAACGATACTGGCTGTGAAAGAGGAAAAGGATAAAAGATAGAAAATACGGTGAGATGAAAAGGACGACAAGGCAGAGAGACGCACACCCGGAAGGGGAGAGAGAGAGAGAGAGACACACACACACACAGACGCAGAAAGAGAGGGAGAGAGAGAGACGCAGAAAGAGAGAGAGAGACGCAGAAAGAGAGAGAGAGACGCAGAAAGAGAGAGAGAGACGCAGAAAGAGAGAGAGAGACGCAGAAAGAAAGGGGGAGAGAGAGACGCAGAAAAAGTGAGAGAGACGCAGAAAGAGAGAGGAAAACCATAACAAATACATTTTTGGAAAAAGAAAGAACAGGGACAATGGGTTCAGAAATGTTCCTTCCACCAGAGTTGGATAAAGGGAGACTTATGTGGTGGTAGGCGGTGAGAAAAAGAGACAGACTTACACATTGATACATATATACACGTATATACTGTTACACAGAGAGAGAAAGTGTGTGTGTGGTACAGAGAAAGAAAGAGTGTTTTATATATAGAGAGAGGGAGGAGATGGGTCGTGTGTTTGAAATGTAATATAAAAAATAAAAGATAAACTAACATAACGGGTAAACGAACAACGAACGAAAAAAAAGCTAATAAGAAAAAAAGAGGGAATAAAGAAAGTACAAATCCCCGAGAAAAAGAAGGAACTGTGAGAGAGTCCCCATTTTGCCGTCTGCAAAGTAGAGAGAGAAGAGGAGAGAGAGACGGTCGACCATGAGAGAGAAAAAAAGGGAGGGGGTGAATAGCGAGAGGCACACACACACACACACACTCACACACAAAGATAATGTAAATAAATCGAAAGCAATTTACAAATTGCTAGAATGATGCTATAACACACAAAGGGGGGGGGGGGGAAGGCTCGGTTGGCCATATCTCGTCTCCATCAAGGCGGTCTGTTCATCCATCGCCCAGTGAACAGAGCACTACCAGATGCAACAAAACAATATCGTCCGTAGGGGAAGGTGGGTTAGTACGCGAGGGCAGGGAAGTGCGAGGCAGCTGTGGGAAAAGAGAGAGAGAGAGAATGCGTAATAAAAATAGAGGCAGATACAGTGGAAAGGTCTGAAAACGGCTGTCGGAAAAGAGGAAAAAATGAACCCAGGGAGAAAAAAAATGAGATGCAAAAGTAAACGAAGAATAGAAATAGGGGGGGGGGTCTAAAGCTAACGGGAGAAGACATGGGATGGTGCTGAACAGAGCGATTTCCAAAGCGAGCGAGAGAAGGGCAAGAAGAGGGGGTCACCAGTTAGAAAAACGGGGGTAACGGGAGAGCGGACATCGGTTTGGAGGCGGAGGACGGAACGGTGAGAGCGGACATCGGTTTGGAGGCGGAGGACGGAACGGTGAGAGCGGACATCGGTTTGGAGGCGGAGGACGGAACGGTGAGAGCGGACATCGGTTTGGAGGCGGAGGACGGAACGGTGGAACAGTGGACACATCGGTTTGGAGGCGGAGGACGGAACGGTGAGAGGGACATCGGTTTGGAGGCGGAGGACGGAACGGTGAGAGGACATCGGTTTGGAGGCGGAGGACGGAAGCGGAGGGCGGAACGGTGAGAGCGGACATCGGCTGAGAGGCGGAGGGCGGAACGGTGAGAGCGGACATCGGTTTGGAGGCGGAGGAACGGTGAACGGACATCAGCTGAGAGGCGGAGGGGCGGAACGGTGACACATCGGTTTGGAGAGGCGGAGGGCGGAACGGTGAGAGCGGACATCGGCTGAGAGGCGGAGGAGGGAATGGAAGAGCGGACATGTTTTTTGCAAAGACGTGTGTTTATAATCCCGGATTCTGTGACAGAATTTGTTTCAGCAATAACATCCTGTTCCCGAAAACAATAAAAATAACGATAATAAAAAAAAATAAATCAAAATTTTAAAATTTATCAAGTTTTATTTATTTTTTTCATCATTAAAAATCCAAACTTTTATCTTGATAAACCCGAAGAATTAAAAAAGGCCACTGACAGGAGAATGTTTATAGAGGACTTTGTGCAAAGGAAATGTCTTTAATATTGAGGTGGAAACAAAAATTAACTTCAGCTAAGAGAAACTGCTTTTTTTTCTACTTCGAGCGCTTCTTTAATAACAACAAAAAGTGTATTATGCATTTAACTATCAATAAATAAACTCACTAGAGTGTGATATGCATAGATGAAACATATTTCCAAGAAAATGATATCAGACTGTCTGCCATAACTTAAGATTTGATGCCAAAGAAAACGTGCAATCATTAGGCGCTCAACACTAACCTTTGGTGAGCAGTACCGTATTTATCCCCTCCTAAGCAAACGCAACATTCTCAAATAGCACACACCAACGGTGTGTATACCAACCCAACTTAAAACGAGGAGAGAAATACAAATAGCTAACGAATAGTAAAGATGTTAAAACAAACCTTAATAAAATAAATGGATCAGAAAAATAAAAATTATTCATCAAATCCTACCGAACTATTAAAACCATAAATTTTTAATGTAGGAGACATTATCGGTCGGGATATTTTTTCTAAAATATAGTCTTAAATGAAATAACATTATGTAGGATTATGATGACATGGATTAACTAGAATTAAAAAAAAAAAGAAAAAAAAAGGCTATTGAATGTTTAATCAAATGGCTGGATTATGTGCAGCTCATGTTTTTTTTTTGTTTTTTTGTATTTTTAATCAATTCACCCCAAGCAAGGCGATAATGCCACTAAGGCACAATAGACGACCGAATATGAAATTACATGAGAAAACTTTTTTGAACCGGAGACCCAATCAAACAAGAAACAAGGATGAACCTCTACACTTATTCAAAAATCCAGGGAGATGCGTAAACGGGGTGTTAGTATGAGTAGCTAGGTTCGCCCGAGGAAAAAAATAAATTAAAAAAAAAAAAGAAAAAAAAAAAGTAAATAAAAATTCCAAAGTTTTAATGAAAGTGAAGGAAAAAACTAGTTATAGGGAAGGATTGAGGAAAGGACAAAAGACGAACAGGATTCAAGAAGATAGAACATGGCGATTGACGTTGCATTTAAATTTTTGCAGATAGTACTTATCAAGGAAGGGAGTTCCACAGGTGGAAAGTGCGAGAAAATAAACTATTGGAGTAGAAGTGCTGGTTGCATTTAGCTGTGAGATTTGGCGAAGACATTAGAAGTAGGCCTGAACGTATAATGGCGATATCGCCAAATTCACTGACCAATGTTTTACTCCACGAAACTATTGTCCTGTGTGCCAATCTTCAACCTCAAACGATAAGCCTGAAGCCTAATAGTCTTACTTGCGTTGGGGACTTTTAATTACTCGCGTGTTAGAATTAGACGGGACTAACAAGGTTTTTAAATGTTGATTTTGTTCCATTCTATCCACTGCTGCTCAGCTCCTACTTGTATTCCATTTTCCACTTTTCCAACCACATAGACTTCTTTTTTTGATGCGAAAACAAATTCATTTTGTATAAAGTTCCTTATGTTGAATCCTCAATAAAGTGACACTGAGTTACCGGTCAAAATTAAATTATTTTGCAACAAAAGGAAAGAAAGGAATGAGGTTAGAATAAACAGATTAAAACCCAGGTTCTACTTACGACCAGAAGTGCAGACTCGACCAAATACATAAAATGAGAGCCCATATCAATAGTGATCAGTCAGGCACGATGTACATAATAGTGTAAAAAAAGAGAAATTAACTACACAGATCAATCGATTGATCGATCTTGAACCGAGAAATGTCAGATCTCTTGAAGGAAAGGTTAGAGAATTAATAGATTTTGTTTTCATGGAAGTGGGGTATCTTGATTATTTCAGAATTAAAAAGAAAATAAAAAAAATGAAAATTCTATTCTGTCTTCTTTTTAAACGCAACATCACTCTTTTCTCAGTTACATTTAATAGGTATCTTTTCTAATTCGAGTGAGGAAGACAGCTTTTTTGGGAAATGAAGGAAATCGCCTTCATATGAAAGGCAGCTTGGCCAATCAGTCAATCAGTTATGTGCTATGCGTGATAAACGCTTAGGCGATCTTGTATCTTTCAATACATGACTGACGAGACAGATTTTTTCCCGCAGTAGTTTGCCTTTACTTTCTGCGGTAGACCAGTAGCCAACCCGGTCTGTCCTGCTACTTACCTATAGCTTAGGAGGTGGTTATTAGCACGTAAGTGAATGTAATGGATTCGACTGGAATTCGAACTCGGCTCTCCGATTCCTAAATCCGAGCTGCTAACCATGATTCCACCGTGCCTCCTAGATTTTCAAAAATACATTATGAAAATTTGTAATATCCTTTAAATTAGAATTTCGTCCATCAGTTAAAAAATTTGTTTTTTCATTATCTGAACTCAACGTGTAGTTTTTGTTCAACATCAAAGTCCTATTCATCAGGGTTTTCTTTGGGTTGACCTGCAAGTCGCTTTCCTTTCTTGACAAAGTTAATGAGCGTTTTTCTGGCACTAGTGTTTGGATCCATCTGAAGAAGATGACCAAGCCATCGCAATGCTTATGGTTTTATAATGTGGTTTCATAGTTTCTACTTAATTCGTTGATAATGCATTTCAGTCTTGATTGTTCTGAGTCAGCAAATATAGAGTACATCTCGTAAGGGTTTACGATAAATATCTAAAATATTTTGAAAATGACTTACAATCTGTTAACTGGGGCAAGAAATGACTTGTTAATTTTAACGCCCCAAAACGAAACTGCTATCTTTTAATCGTATAAGATAACCTTTTTGTATCCAATCAGCATGGTTGATGCTAACCGCCAGGAAAGTAACTTCTCCGTCTAACGTTTTCTACTGGCGTGAAAAGGAATGCTTATATTGTATCAATTGTGAGATCTGTTGCTACGAAAATCGGTTGTGTTTTGCATAGAGAATTTATCTCAGCATTTGCCCGTGTATTAAATATTATTGTCCCATATCTTGACAGAATCCAAAGAATCTGCAATATCATCTGTCCTGACCCGACATCTCGGCTTCAGTCACTTTCCCACCGCCGTAATGTAGCTTTCTTGTGACTTTTCTATAAACACTTTCGTGGTAATTGTTCTAATGAGCTTTCCTCTTTTTCACCTTGACTTCACGAATTTAAGCATAATACTAGATTGGCAGATAGGTCTCATCATTTTAGCGATGAAATTGCAAGATGTAATCATAAGTTCTATGCTCATAGTGTCTTCTATCAAAATTTTAAATTCTTCCGGATTCTTGCTTTCATGTCAAGTAATATCTTATAAAATTTAAACGCAACATCAATCGCTATCTGTCTCCTGATCTTTGCCAGTGTTCTACTCAACGTCTTCTGAGGTTCCTTCTCTCTCTCTCATTAAACCCTTTGCATCGTAGTGGCATTCTCACCTTGTTTAGAGTGAAATACTCAATGTATATATTTTATAATATATATAAAATTTATATATATTATGCATTTCATAAATAAAAGCCATATTCCAACATAATGAAGATTGCTACAAATTTGATAAAAAAAATCATTAATTATTGTATATATTCGCGTAGAAGCCAACTTCATAAAATCAACTCTTATGCTTCTAATCCATAATTTCGGTAAAATTTCAAGGAAAAATCGATCTAATTCTCCCCCAAAACATTCCTGTTTGCAAAAAAAAAAAATAAAAATAAAGAAATAAAAGAAATTGCTTACTTAGGTATTTCCCCAAAACATTAATATCCAAAGTTCAAGGCATTGACAAGAATTAAAATTTATTAAGCAAAGATTTTATATTATATATATATATATATATATATATATATATATATATATATATATATATATAATATGTACCCCACCTCCAACAAAGTACATTCATGCATTTTTTTCCTCGTTATAACGATATGAGTATCAAAGTTGGTCACGGAAGTTTGTGCGGATGAAAAGGTAACGTAATATATTTATGTGCCACGGTAAATAATCATAACGAATGACAATCAGGATTTACGACAACGTTGACTAAAATGTTGGTGCCATTCTGTTTAAGATTGAAGAATGGACGGCAGAGTAAAAGACAAATTGAATCCTTGCCGTAAAGTAAGTAATGCAATGCAAACGACATTTTCTTCCAATTGTTCTACAGACATAAAAAAAATATATATATAGACTCAATAAGACAATGAAATGCGACGCAAGAGGAAGATTAGTGGGGAGAGAAATGAAAGAGCATAGAAGAAAAGCAGAAGGTAGATGATGGGGGAGTGCTGAAAAGGAGGGGCAGAAGAAAGGCGAGGG